ATATATAAGAGATAAATAAACTTTTTGATGGAACTCTATGACTCTATGATGGAAATAAACTTTTATAATAAAAAGTGAAAACATACAATTGAGAAATATTTAAGATATCGGTCACTGATTAGGTAAATGTGTGACACTGATCATGTGATCATTTGTACAGATTCTAAAATCATGCTAATGAACAACTGAACATTGTATACACTTGAGTGTTGCTGTCAATAATCCAAGGACAAAAAATACATTGTTTTGTTTTATAAACATTTAAATCAAATTGTTATGCTGACAGTAAAATTTGTCATGAACCAGGTATTAAATGCAAAATAGAAGCATTTTCACAAGTGGTCTTTGGCATCTTATTAAATACAAATATATAATATTAAAGTGATAGTTCACCCAAAAATGAAAATTATGTCATAATTTCCCTCAGGTTGCTGTAAGCCACTGACTTCTACAGTATAGAAGAAAAAAAAACACTACTGTAGAAGTCAATGGCTACTGGCAACTGTTTGGTTACTAACATTCTTCAAAATATTTTCTTCCGTGTTCAGCAGAAGAAATAAATGTATACAGGTTTGTAACAACATGAGCATGAATAAATGACGACAATTTTCATTTTTGGATGAACGACCCCTTTAAGTTGATTTTTTAAGCATGCGTATATAACAGTGTATTTTTCAGCCACTAGAGGTCAGCAAAGATCTGTCAAAAGTTAGGACAGTTTACCCAAAAAAGAAAATCCATTCACAGTTGACACTGACTAAAGCATAAATTCATCTAGAAGATATCTGATGATGTCATTGCTTGCAGCATGCTTTTATTTGATATGCCCACAGCTTGTGCTACAAGCTTGTCTCATATTCTCCATGTGTCTTGTCAGTAGTAAAGACACTATTGACTAGAGTCTGGAACTCTCCTCTTCTCTCCTGGAGATCTGTCATGCTGGGTAATGCCATAGGTTCACTTCTGATCTCTTTCTGGTAGAAAGGACAGACCTTCAGGTGCTCTGCCATGGGGGGCATGTCTTCAAAGACCCATTTATCCACTGGAGAGAACAGACTGCTAATGGCCAAAGAAAGAAAGAGACCACCTCTCATCCAACAGCAAATTATCAACAGTGTGTAGCTGACTGACATGGAGCCAGGGAGGGTAAAGTGACCCATGTATGTCATCTGCTGCTCTCTGACCCACATACCTCAGAGAACAGTTAACAGAGCACCAACGTACTTAGGATGTTTATCGTGCCCTCCGACACAGCTAATGCTACTGAAATAAAATTAGATGGGCTGGAAAGCATTGAAGATTTTTTCGGAGGCAACTGTGATTCTGCACATGATTTTTAGACTCATGGGAGTCTTATTATGAATAATTAAATTAATAATACAATATTAAACAATATTGATAATAATATGGCTGTTCCTCAAGCTCTAACAAGGCTTTCACAAGAAAGCCTTGTGGAAGTTGGAATACAGTACATGAATCGTGGACTTATTTTATGGTGCCTTCCCAGCTAACAATAATGCACTAGAAATGTTTTTTTGAATATGAAAGTAAAACTTGAAAATACTTCAGAAACCTCCTGTCAATGCTCTGGGAACATAATTTAAACATAATGGGCCTCATTCATGAAACACGAGCGGAACGATTTTTTGTTTAAATCATTTGGAAAGTCGCTCTGACGTAAATTTTCGGATTCATGAAAATGTTCGTATTTTGAAAATGGTAGTTGGTACAAAATAAATTTACACCTGGGGCCTGTTCTTCGTACGTCGCTAGCTCAGTTAGCTGGATTTGATTGTTGACGATTTGGCATGATCTTGGATTGTTTGGTTCTTCGACGCTCATCCTGGAGTTGCTGTCATAGCAACAGGTCCGTAAACTTAAACCTGCTCG